CTGTTTATTCAATCAACTAATTTAATTTTCCACTGATCGAAACAATTGGCATTTAAGATCTGGAGAATATGATGCGTCTAAATGAGCCTCCAAACTCCGTTTTGCAAAGTAAGTTAATGAACCTTGCCATAACTAATCTGGGGTTGTTTTGTGCGACAAAATAACATTACGTCATTTTTGTCGAGTTAATTTCTATCGAGTCATCATTGTTGGATAATTTCGTCTACTTGATAAAACAGAACCGGATACAGATTCTTGATAATCGTCTAGCTTTGCTCAAGCTTTTCCCAGTTTTCTTCCAAACCATGGTATTTTTTAAATAGAAAGCTAATTTAGCTCTGGGCTTAGATTTGTTTTTAGGAGCTACTCGTTCCTTTCTCCTTGTCGCATTGGTACCATGCAAAGCGTTGAGGGGTAACGATTCGAGTCGTGCTTCGTTCTGGCTTCTATTCAATTTAGGGATCCTCCAGGCGCTTAAACTCCTCCTTTTCTACACGCATCCATAGATTCAAGGTTCCTTATAATAGTCGAGTCTTCACAACCTATTTCCGTAATGAGTTAACGAGTTGTTTACTATCAAAGGTCCTCATTAACTTCGCGTAACGGACTGGGTTAGAGTGCATCCTTCAGATTCAGGATCCCATATTTATATATAGATCTCAGCAGGCCTCTTAGAACGATCCTTTTAGTTATTAAGTTCGTGCTATACAAAATGCAAATATATTAGGCTGCTTGGGTAGCTTTAGGGCCTAACGAAATGCGAAACAAAGTAGATGCTAAAGATGCCCTTTTCTCAACAGGGACAACTATGGGAGGGACCTTAGATCGAGGTGAATTTCCGCTTACTGCACTATGTACAAACGATTTAACAGAGCATAGGAAACGTCCCTAAAAACTATATTGAAAAAAAAAACATTATTATTGTCTATATTTAATGAGACGCGTTATGCACTGGATGTCAAGGACGAGGCCTGGACCAGCAACCCCTGGATTTTCCAGAGACTCACCGCCCAAGTTGCCATGTCGACAGTAACCAGGTGGTTGCAAGTAACAGAAGTTTACGGAAACTGCCATTACTTTCTAAGCAATTTAATATACTCGCTAAGTGAGGGTAGGATGAAGCTATGGTGGACAGCATTAATTCATCGGATTTAACTATTTTTTGTTATTGTGAAGCTCGCCCTACCAATAACTATGAAACTACCATATTAACAGAGGTTCGTCATTGACTTATTCGGCTAAACCAAGAAGAAAATTAGGCTTGGCCAGCACGGAAATCCGGCTGACCTTGCACCTGTAGATGCAGTCCTTAATCCCCTCTACGACCACCACAGAAAGCGATCCTTTAGCCCAAAGGTTCATTAGAACAATGGTGTGCAACAGCGAAATCTGATCATGATTGAGAAAGCGTCAGCACCGCACAGGAGGCCATTCCAGGCTACGCTGGCGCCTGGAAGGGCGACGGCCAACTAAGCAACTGCCTCTTGCTTGAATCAGGAAGGTTAGGACGGCACATCGTTAGCGTAAAATGGTATAACTATATCAAGATTTTAGATTTATTGATGATTCATGCGTGTTTGTAAACAAGGTCTCCATAAACGATACTGAGAAAATTATAAACATCGCTAATCTATTATATTTTAACTGTGGGATATATAATAAAGTTTTTATTTCCTATTGAAAATCATTTGATTAACAAATATTTTACTTCATACGAAATCAGCTGATTGACAGATCGATTGGCTGTTCTCCTCAAGCAGGGGCTCGAATCAATCAGCCAAAGCTCCGAAATACGCAATCAAAAGCAGTCTTACAAACACGGTCTTATCGTGAAGTCCTCCAGTTGAAATATCTGGAGTGTAAGAACAACATTACCCATGCTGTAAAGTTAGCGGGTCGCAGGAAATACAACAAAAAAAAAAAAAGAATTCAGAGGCATTACATTTGACAGTCACTGATTTGACCGTTTTTTGAAACAGAGTTCTGCACTAACCGCACCGATCCTCACACATAAACAGCACTATAAACAACAACGTTATTTCGTGAATTGAATGGTACTATTGGCATGAATTAGGACACTTTCGCCGTTTGACCTTCTTGCTATAGACGATTATTATATTTCTTTCTCTTTTATCATATCGCACTCCAGAGCAATCTATTATTCCACGCTAGGACCGCTAACAGTGACAAATATAAAAACGAAACTATAATTTGTAGAACGACTGCTGCGTAGATATTACGGACAGATGTGCCTAAGCTCTAAGAAAGTATTCTTTTCATTTTTTAACTTGGTTTTTACGTATCTATGATAGGATACGTAATAATAACTCTGTAAGCAAAAAAAAAGAGTACAAGTGTACGTGAAAGACGATGATAGAAAATGACTAAAATCATTGAAATATATCCAGGTCTCGTCAGACAACTTCCGCTAAATATTTTACACGAAGCAGGATATAGTTTTAAAGACCCAGACTTTTTTTTTAAATATGCGAACAAACGCTTAAAATTAAAAGTACCCGTATCTGTAGGTTGTAAAAGACCGGTAGTTGGCTTCGGCATGACAATATCTGCCTTTTTCTAACCATAACAAAAGTACATGTACTTTTAGGTACTCGACTTCCCATAAAGTGCCACTTGACTTCAAACGCAATTCTACTTCGATTCTGCCGCAAAATCTGTTGCCACAAATGATACCTGAATGAATTACCGATCTTGCAAAAAGAGTTTGATACAAACGTATTTTGAAAAACCCGTACTCACACCTAATCTTAACAAGGATTAAGAACAATATACAGGCATAATTACAGGCCACCGACTTAATTACTATGTTTAAGAAGGTACCCATTGATCACGTTCTCTTATCATCTTTTCCGAAACCTTTAAATCTATTAATAGAAAGTCAATTTACTACTGGATCACTGATATCAATGATAAGAAATATTTTCGCTGCCTATAGAAGTTTCAGGAAAATAAATAATCTGGCATTTTTTTTATCCAAACATGAAACTTCTACAAATTTATTTACGTGAATCCAAGTTGCTTATACGAACGCTGTTTTTTGTGTGTACGTAAACAATACACTTAGTACATACTTACACAAACAGCACAGCTGTTTATATAATATATGCTTTCTTCACGTTCCAAGTGTGGTACAACGTTGGGCATTACTTCAGAGAGTACACATATATCACATAGACAAAAAAGCAATGAAGGTTTTTAAGCCGAGATTCAAGAAAATACTTTTTATGTTTTGAAACAATATTTTTAAACTAGATATGCATCTGCATCGTTTTGATCGACGACTTTATATGATCCTTCTGGTAGCCATGATCCCATAATTGTCACTCTTTTGTCGTTTCGGTGATTTTTGCATCTCTTTATTAAAACAGAGACGGAAATAGATAACAATCTGAGTGCGCCAGATCCGGGCTATGCGGCAAACGCATTAGAAGATCCCAGCCAAGTTTTCGCCGGGTAGCTAAATACGTATGCAGTGTAGCATTGTCATAAAGGAAAACGATACCGTTATGGTCTATTAGTTCCAGTTGATTTTCAATAGCTTGTTATAATCCTGTTAGTTGCAGAGGTCCAACAGAGGCGGCGGAAGCAGCAGCAGCTCATGATGCACGATTCCTTTCTAAGCCCGCCGGACACATCGAATCGTACTGTTTAGTGTCGGCCCAATGGGCAAAGATTTGTGTTTCACACGAGTATATATACTCAAGTACGAGTATATATACTAAAACAGTATATATACTAGATATGTATATACTAAAAAATTATTATGTATATATATATATATATATATATATATATATATATATATACGTAAAATATATGCAGATATGTAAAGGATTTTATTCCCTTTTCCTAGAAGAAAAAGAACCTAGCATTCTATTTTACATAGAGATCTTTATTCTTCACGATCAGTAATCTTCGAACACTAAAAAAACAATACGTTTCTTTTCCGTAAATTTATCACCCTCTTGTTAATAGGCTGTCTTATTTAATGTTGTGATAAGTTGATTGTAACGATTTGCAGTAACTAATGTTGTGTGTATCGTATATAAACAGTGTCGTATCAGCGATAGTTGTGTATTGTTTGTACCTTTTCGAATCTCAGTTACCGAATATGAGGAAATCAATTAAGACGGGAGTTAAACGCAAAGGAATTACCCCCCTCGTCGTGTAGCGTGTTACTTCCTAATGTTGAAGTATATGTCATGAATAAAATAGATAAAATAGTAGATACAACGCCAATCGACTAAGTATCGGTGCGATGAACTGATATATGTTGGGTGCAGGGTATTGTTTCTCGAAGATTACTGTGTAGATATGCCCGGACCCAAAAAGGCTTCCAGGTAACTGCAGTGTATTTGTCCTTTCCTAAAAACGACCTCGTTATTGAAATTCTATTAAAGAGCCTTTTCACTGAAATATATTTAGCCGACCAACAGACTATCTGGCCCCCTAAAATTTTGATGTAATCGAAATTGATTGGAAAGATTTTTGGACATCGCTACGATTAATTAGGTGGGCATTGGATTATTTTTCCTTAACTAAGATACCCATTATATAAGTTTCTATTTTTTAAACAACTAATATATTCAGTTGCCAAGGCTAAAGGTCAACGCCTTTGGCATAATTGTTTCGAAGCTACAATTGCGTATTGTGTAATTTTTGCGTGACAATCTGGCTTGGTTACTCCTTTTAAGCTCGAAGGTAATTCATTAAGATGCCTTATCGATCGCTACCATTAATCATTGTTCAGGTCGCTCAAGGGAAACTCGTCAAGTTTCCAAAAAATAGGTGAGTAGCCTCTGAGAACCAGTCATCTTCACGTTTTACTATTTTAGCCGCAAAAAATATGTTGCTGGATTGTTTAGCTCAGCCACTTTTAGCTACATTTTGTTAGGTGCCGATTTGACGAAAAAAAAAAAAAAAAAAAAAAAAACTTGTTAATTGGTGTTGACAGATGCTAGAGCAATAGCGCTCTGATATATTCACATTTCCCTTCAATAATATAGTAACTAGTGGTGATATCAACGTGATCGGATTCAATGCCAGGCCAAAATTTTCCAATATAATACTTATTTTCTCACCAAAATCATTTTAGCATCTCTTTTCTAACATCTTCATGCGTATAGAGTGAACCAGAGGCCGTTAATCTACATATTCAACATATTTTGACTGCAGACCGTCTCATTTTAACTGGCAAGGCTTGGATATTACTTTGTAATGGTGAGCTGTTACAAGCGAGTCGGTTGAACTTAAAACTGAAAACTTTAAAAGAACTTAAAACTAGTTGGGCTACAATGCTTGTTCCAATGATCTGGCAGCTTCTTGACAGCCATAAATCTACCAGCAATCCTCCTATTTATAGCTTCTCGAGATATATAGTAGAATATGCCTACCTGTTAGCTGTCTTTTTGGAAGCATAAAAGTTTTGTATCACAGACTTACATTCTAAGAGAATAAGCGGGTTAAGACGCACGTGAAAATATCCCTTTGTTCAATTCAGAAAGTAATAGAAGCCGATGGTCCATGAGTCTCCTACAAAATCTAAGCGAAATAGCGAAAATGACGAGCTGCCTTTATTGTTTCCTTTTCGCCTCATAATAGGAAGTGCCGCCGCTGTCCATTAGCAGTACTACCTTTATCTGGTATCCGAATTCACCCGTCACCGTTAACGAACTAGGATCCTTCCCAGAGCGAAATCGTCCTCTCTACTAGTCCCTTTCCGGCTGGCGCCAGAGATTGTACCTTGTCTCGTATGCGGCAACCGTCTATGACTAACGTTCCACAAACTGTACGTGCAATACACCACATTCGTTTTCAACTGACCTGGAGCCAATTAATAAAAGATTTAACTTTACTCAGTGCCCGTATCTTCAGTGTTTTGGACAATAATTTGTGTTACACGTTATAAGTTTTATCGCCAACAATGCCTTCGAGGTTCAACCTCTCGTCTAATGAAAAGTCTTCTCCGGTGTGGTAATGCGGCCTCGTTCTTCGGGTACTAATATCCGCCCACCCTCTTGTTGAGTATCAGAACTTCAATTTCCGTTCTTAACACATTTACATAATTTTTATACTATGCTTTCACCGTTTCACCATAAAGTTTTTTGTGCTATGTCTGAATCAATCCCCGATGAATTCTTGCAGTATCGTGGCTGTCGAGGAAGAAAGATTTAAGGTCTTTGAGATTTAATGATGTTCTTCTTTCTGAACTCGTTTCTTATAAAAAGAAAAAAAAAAACCAACCGGTGAATTTAAATCTCTCAAAGACTGGAGTATTTGTGTACAAATTCCGTTTTTGAGAGGCCCGTAGCTGAAAAGTTTGAAAATGGGTGTTTTCAAAGTCCACTGTGTACGCTTCTACCAGGCTAATAGTTTTATTATCCAAAATACTGATTGCTAGTTTTCCTTATAAAAAGACGAAACATTATCTGTGCCATCGCTTGTTACATCCTACTTACATCAAATGTAGTAGAAGGGGCAATTTTAAGCGAAGCCTTGCAACACAGGCATCGTCGTATGTTCCTTAGGTTCATTTGATCATTGAATGGCATGATTATCGATTAACGTATGTAGCCAGTAATTGTCGTGGTAATCTGGAAACTGGAAAAATGCTATGATAAGTGATTGAACAGAAAAGTATCTAAATTAGTAAATACAAATACATCATCATATGTATAAGATGTTAAGAGGCGTTCTAGCGGAAAGCTCTTCGGTTCGTGTTTACACAGCTCTGAAGCGAAAACCTTTGGTGAAATCAGGAAATATAGGTAATACTGATCTTACGCTCAAGACAAGCGCTCTTCTGAAGTATGTTCAAGTGGCCTAGTCCTGATCTCCCTTAATTAACCATTTTTTCCAAAGTTTCAGGGTTTCTCCGGCCAAATGTTGTCGCATCCATAAGTTAGAAAATGTCGAAAGTGCGTTTTTCAGCCGTACGACTATTGATATCAAAATGCATACATGGAATAACATAAGTGTCATGTTTATTGCTAATAAAACAGGTTCAGATTCACTAATTAAGGAATACAGAAGCCGTTATTTTCTTTGTTAAGATACAATGTTGCTATTACGAGAATACACTGTCGGATATCGATAAAGCACGGGTAGCATCTTTAACAACATCTCTAATAAGAACTGCTGCCAACACCAACACCCTATGAAATCTTTAAAAATTGTAGTAATTCTATTTACAAATAACACTTCATCGACCTCAAGCAAGAGAACAGACCTAATAATATCCGTCAAGTTTATTTCGAGGTCTTCAACAGCATTCTCAATTGATGAAGGGCTTAGGTGTTCGCAGATATTTTCGGCGAGGTAAACTGTGAAGATTTCATATATTGTAAATTGATGTTATTATTTATTGCTTGATTCATGCTAAAGTAAAAATGTGTTCTATTGTGTACATTTTTAGCTAGCTAAAAAAACGTTTATAAGAATTCGAAGAGAAAATGTATTGCCATGAAGTTTGACTATTACAGGGGCCACTACTGAGCTTTATCGGCCTATCCACATATAGGCCAACTGGTCATTAAGAAATACACGTGCAATCACGATGTAGGACGCTCGTGCCCCATCCTGTAAAATAAAATCATTGTCATACAGCATTATGAAAGCTGGTAAGGAAATGTCTCTCGCAAAATAAATGGTTATTGTGAGTTACTCTGCAAAGTTGCAGATGGGAATCCTGGGCACCTGCCCATAGACTTGAGCCAGTCTCAAACTCACTTCAAGGGCTACGTAATACACTTATCTCAAATACAACAACTCGATGTTTTTACGTATACAAGCATTTGACAAATAATCGCCGTTCTGTATATTGGGTTTCGTTGCTGATAACAATAAAAGGACGACTACTCTTCAGAGCAAGATAACGTTCAATTTAATGCTGCAAATCGCTTATCTACACGTTGGAAAAGCCTCGATTCCAAGGAATCAATACTTTGGAATTCGTTCTGCGTTTTTCGTCTCGGAAAACTACTTCAGTATCCATTTGAGCTCGTAAAACCTCAAGCTCCCAGTTATAGAATAGCTGCCCTCATATGTTACCGTTCCAAACTGAAAGCAAAATGATAAAAAGAGCCTTCAGCAAGTGTTCGAGCAAGCAAAAGGACTAATTAAGACAGCGCGGTAACATCTACGACCAAGGCCCGACAACAATTTTAGGACCTATTTTTCATAGGGCAGTCTTGTCTGTATAGTCCAGCTAATTTCTATATATATAAGGCTGTTACAAACAAATTTTCTTTTGTTTTGAAACTAAACGACCTGGCTAGATACATGTGCAGCTAAACACGTTCTAAACATGCGATCTTTATCTGAATTCGTGTACGACCATAGAATGTGTGTCGCGATTTCAAACTAACGGCAAAAGAATTGACAGCGTAACGAGCCATTTGCTTGAAACGTAGTCGGAAAAAAGGAAACCGCCGATAGTGCTCAGTAAATACAGACAGACCACTGAATGATCGAGTGAATACATAGTCACGATATATAGGTTCACCATCATTACCTGGCTAGTTAATGTAATTATATCACTGCGTTGGATTCATTAAACCCTTCGGCATAATAAAGATAAGTCTTGCACGCGTTTCCGATCGATAATCTAGATCTTACATTTGCTTGTATTTAAGCGTCGATCAAAAATTTCTGATCCTAACTAATATATGTCCTCAAAATTTGCCAATTTGTATCTCAGAAGATTCAGACTATCTCTCAAACACTTGAACGAGCACTATAAGATCTAAAGGTGTGGTCGAAGATCGATATTTGTGTCCGTAACTGTTGTTAATTTCACCTAGGTTATTTCATATATGCGCCAAGGAAGTTTCAACTATTATAAATGTCATAGAGATAACGATAAAACCACCGCACAGAAATGTACCACATAAATGGTACTACGATTTGAATGTAAATTTGCACAATAAATTTCCTGCTAAAAGCAAAAATGTCGGCTAGCTGAGACCAAAGTGACAAATAACTCAAGGAACTTTGGGAACAATAATGTACCACACAGATGGGTCCTTATATGCTGATAAGGTTTGCTCGGGGTCGACCAGGACCTCCACTGATTTAACGATAAAACAAACGTTTTATCTTTAAATCAGTGGAGATTTATTTTGCCACGTCTGACTTTTAAGTTGTAGCTTCGTGCTAGCTTCATTTTTCGATTATGTGGCAACCGCTGTCGCCAAATTTTAAGTGCAACACTATGGAGCCTATTGAAATGGCTTGCAATCATAATCTTAAAAGGATACGCACTTTCAAAACACGTATTTAAAACAAGATGTCCCTTATAACAACCAACGTATTTTAACGATATACTAATAAAATATTGTTGATACTATTGTTTGTAAGTAAGTTCATGTTATCGATTTTACGAACAACTTAATAAACAACAATGCTCGGCCTATATTTCATTCTCAACCCAGTAATCCTAACTAATTACTTGATATGCTTATGCTACGGGGCGTACGATACATTGCACAATCTATGCAAATAAAAAAAAACTTACAAGCAAATAGAGATATTATGTAACTTCGTTTCTTGTTATCAACATTCAGGGTGTACACCATTCAAGTACACAACTTTCTAAACTTTAGAAGGTTTGTTAGGACGCTTAGATAGGTTTTGTTCAACTGAAATTTGACATGGAGGCGTGACATATAAGTGTTTAGCCGTTTGCTGAATTAAGTAACTACCTTGAGGGAGAAACTTATGCCACTCAGTATATTTTGCGACCTTAATTAGGTTTCTATCTGCCACGGGTGCAATAGAAGTACCAGTTTTTAAACAGACAGTATGACACGAAAAAACTAGTTCATCAGATCGTGTCTTGCTTCGATATTTTAAATGCTATTTCTATAGCAGCTTGCGTAATCTTGTTGATTCTGGGAACGTACGACTTTTCATAACTTCACACTTATAATTGTGTCAGTCTTGAAAATCTATTGAAAGCAGTGAATCTGTTCGGTAGCAAAAGTTCAGAACCGGTTATAGTTATATGAAGGGCAACAGTGCTAACTTATGTGTGCTCTTATAAAAATGCATAGATGTTTGTTTACGATTAACCTCAAGTTGGAGTTATCCCTTTTACCTGGATTAGAAGCAGGTTATTCCTAAAGGCTGGAGGAAAAGTGCACCAATGGAAATCCTAAAGTTCGTTGACTAATTGGATATTTGCATCTCTATATGGACCCAGTCACAAAGTTTAAAGTAGTAAATCCAGCTATTTCGAGTCGTCCAAGCCACTGCGCCAATTATTAACAATCGTTATATGAAAATTATGATACAAATTCGTGCAATGTAATTTTCATTTATGATATTTCTGTATCTTATACTTACAAAATACTTTTTTTTGTTAACTTTTTTTGGAGTAATTGTGCATATGCAGACTGCTAATTTAACTACAATCCTTGCACGGGCACACAATACTACGTGTCCTAGTGCCACTAGATATCCAAGTCAAACATGTACATTGTCATTCATAATCCTAAAGGATACCTGAAGGATAAAAAAAAAGAATTACATTTTTTAAATAAACCTCATTGTGATAAAGTTAGTTATCACGTTCGTAAGATACGATTAAGGATAACAATATCAGAGAACTTTCAGAATACTACCGAAAAAGCGTAGACTTTAATAGATCGATTTCATAAAGACATTGCCGACTCCTGACTAGGTCATGTGAATGAATTATTTACCTAGCTAACGTAAGGTTGCTTTAAAAAGTAACCGCCTGTATTCGTATTTTAGATCTCTTTTGTACAAGGGCCTCTTTCAGCTGAAAGGCCAGCGGGTCGCTGCTTCGAATCTCATCAACTATATACGTAATCTGATTTAAACGAAGCTTTTGTATATGTATATAAACATTTTGCTTCGTTCTATACCAAGTCCGTCTTATTATCACTTCTAGTTTTAAACTAATAGATTCATATTGATTGAGCACTGTTGTAGTACATTATGTATAGTTGTTTTATTATAATTTCAAGTACATGTTCGTTCTATTCCAGTTTGCATATGTATATATATATAAAATGATTAATTTTATATTTTGTATTCTATTTATATTTAACATTTGACAGAAGTAAGAACCTAAAACCCTTGCTGGACGAGCGCATCAATATGAAACGTGAAAGTTTCTTACGAGAAAGTATGTATTCCTGCCAATAAACGTATCTATTGATGGACAGACGTCAAGGAGTCGCAAATAATGTCGATAGCGGATCTATATTTTCACGGAAGTAATTTGGTGCTTTCTGTTCAGCAAAAAAAAGGTGTGGAAACGTCCTTTTAACCTATTTTCTGTAGGAGGGAATTTAAGGGAGATTATACGTTCTCGGACACGTCGTTATTTCGGACCGTTTTTTGGTTTGTTTGCAATTTGACGTTACTGTATCGTATCCCTCACTGTTACTGTGAAAATGTCGGCCTCACATGTAAAGGAATTTTCAAGAAGACTCGTGCGGGGCCTTAGGTAAAGACTAACATGGTCGTTTGAGGTTGAGGGAGCTACAGTGAGCAAAAGGTCCTCCCATGAAGTTCCATGGCGAAGCTCTGAAAGGCTGATAGTACCGTAATTTCATCACTGCAGAACTTCCGCGTTTTCTAGACGAAAAACTATGTAAATTGATGTTTGCATCTCTCCATTGAAATTGAAGTACTCGATTCAAGGGTTTTGCCAAGATCGTAGCATCTGATAGTCTCATAACAACATACAACCTATATAACGAATTCACTAGAATTTCCCATCCCAGTTCTTTCAATCTTCGCCAAGTGGCTAGTCATGTACGTGGTCTGGCATTGCCATTGTGGAAGACGGCTCTTATGTTCACTAGTTCCGGTCGATTTTTTTTTTTAATGGCTTATTGTTATCTTGCTGCGTATTGATAGTACGGGTTCGAATTAATCGTTTTGTTAGGCGGCAGCAGCTCATAGTGCACAGTTGTTTTCTAAGCCGTCCAACTCATAACAACACTTTCTTTAGTATCAGCCTGGGCCTGAATACGAAGAGAGAAGCACGTTTTTTTAATTGTACACTGTTGCAGTAGATAATCTTCTTTTTATCACTTGTGGCCCACACTTTAGGGACAGCCCTATTTCGTTGACTTCCTAGAGTTTCGCAAACAAAAATACAATCGAGTATATAATTTCGTGTAGAACCCGAACAGCCGGGCTTTTGTGGCCTAGGTCTTTCAAATATTTTCAAACGGCTGGCGGATATTTAATTCCTAAGCAACATCGTAGCTACTCTCGTGTCGGTCTTCCAATATGACGACAATTTTTCGTCATTGGTTGACCACTATGTGGAACATCTTTCACATTGTTCAAATCGCAAGCGACAAAACCATCGTTGCAGCTCGTTCGTACTGGGGCTGGGAAACGATTGTACCTCTATTTTAATAAAATTTGGCCATATTTAACATGGTCGGATTTTTGCAAAAAAAAAAAAAGTGAAAAACAACAATTTCTTCAAAAGTTAAATATGGCTTTTTTTTTTTTTTTTACAGAAATCTCACTCATTTTCTAGGTATTTGAAAGCCCGTACAATAAACTGTGACAATTTGAATCGATCTACGACTGCAAAATCCGACGCTCCTCATATTGTGTGCGATATGTGGGATATTACATATCGCGGTGCGCCAATCATAGCTTCCTTTTTGGTGACACAGAGTTGGCTCAACCGAGCTCGTTGCGCCTTAAGTACTGAGATACTATTTACTAGTAAATATCTATACCTGCCTGTCTCGCCGCTACTGAGCGGGATGTCCTCATTCTGAGGTGGATGGTGTCCTAATACGAGAGCAATTTGTTGGACCAATCGCTATGACTCGAATGATCTGCCTAGGCTCTTGTCATGGGCGACAGTGTTTAAGTGGATTCTTCGGAGGAACGGCCACCGAGTCTTTTAAATTATCGGGGATGTTCTTCTTGAACAGCATATAGTAATTCAAAGAACTCGTGTAACCACATTCACTCTATAGTGGTAGAAGGCCAATTCGGCAAGCGGTCGATGCGGCCTACGTCAGTTTGCACATGTCCTAATTAGGCGAAGTGCTCTGGAGTGCGACATGCGAAATACTTTCTCTATATAATATCGTACAATTTGTATATATATATTATGTTATGGCTTTTCCTCTTAAACAGGATTTACTTGCTAACTGATTGAGCATGCAGTACTAAAGCTTTACGTGGCAAAAAGCTGAACACGTGCAAAGCTTTCTTGACACATCGAATACCAGTGCGCTTGTACAATAAGAAGCCTAAAGAAATTAAACGTTGGGCTGTACAGACGACTTGTGAATTGCTTCACTCGAAGGAAGGTATTTTGTCCAATACCACACGTACGCCTTTGTTAAATCGTAGTTTTATCCGTTTATATTAAGAAATTGCTAAGAGTTCACAAAATACGTGGACTATTTTCTTAAAAGACCCACTACCTGTTTCCAAATTTGTTTTTCAGAGCTTTAAGTTCGAGGTAGCATCATCTAGGTGGCGCTTTGTGCTTCATCACTGGATGGCATCATCGAGGCAGAACTTATTCGATAGAGGATGATCGATAGAACTTCATTTCACAAAGCATTTATAATTTTGACCCACGAACACCATTACGCCACCAGTACGGTTAGCTTGCGTTCATAAAGTATTTACGCTTGTAGTTCAAAGACCGATAATTGATCAGCTATTATTTCATCCTAGTTAAAGATCTGCCACTCCGTGTGCAAAATCCACACGGGACAGCTGACAACGGTGCTATACGCCCATCTTTGCGAGAAGTCCCTTTCACGTCCAGCCAGCCGTCGCCAGACTGTAAATGATAATTTCATTGATAAACATGAGCAGATCAACGGTTTCACCATGCAAGTCGTCATGGTGCTTCCTACACGTCACACATAGGCACAGTAACTTTGAAGTATCTCTATGTTTCAAGTTTCTACGCCTTTTATTGCTGCTAAGCGTTCCATCACACGGCACTGGCTTTGCTACTGTCTGGGAACATCTCTCATCGAAACGCACTCCACGAAAACATCATGGAAGAGTTGGCTGTGTGAAACGTTCGTTCTTAAAATACGCCATGCCATGGGCGTCTGCATTGTTCATTGGTGAACAGATGCGTGTACTTTCTAGGCGAGACACACTACTGCTTGTAGCGAATCCGAAACGCAGCTTTAAGCATTCTATCACTCGTATTTGTGCAGTGTTTGTAAGTACATAGGAAAAATGGCGAAGATGGATTCTGATTTTTGGAACACGAGAGTTAGGATTAACAAAGTTTAGAGAAAGTCGAACAGAAACAAGCGGTACATAGTTGCTGGTTTTGCTTCTCGATGACTTTATCACATTATATACGTAGTTGTGAGCTTCCATTTACCAAGGTAGATGGGTACTTGCGCAATACGTGATGCGATGTGTCTCATCTGCTATGCCGCGTCGTATGCTGCAGTACCATTACTAAATAGCCTCTCCGATCAAGCACACCGATCTTAAAACTTTTAAATATTTTGATTTGATAATAATTGATAGTTTGATTTCAAGGTTTAATACGCATAGCCAAGGCAACCCAGGTAAACTTTTTAATACCCAAACTATGTTGTGAATCAATACTCGGAGTAAATAGTCGCTCGATTAGTGCACGCTCCACTAACCCACCTCTCCGTTAAAGGGTAGCCCTCTGAGTACCATTTCAGAGTATGTATGAATCTATTACCTCGAACGTGGCATCTTCCGTTATGTTTATTTCTTTATTTTTTAACTTTTTTTTTCCTGAAACAATTTAGTTTCTGAAGAGTGTGTAGTTTATAAGATAGTCTATGTCGATGATGAAATGGTCTTGAAGGCGATGTCTGAGGGAAATCTCTGATGCATCGAAGAGTGTTCTACAAGGAGCTGGAGCATAAAAAACTAAGGATACAAAACGGAACTCTCAATTTTGGAATTTATTTACAAAAACTTTATTTGTAGAACACGAGTGCAAAGTGTACAGGATTGTCTAGACGGGTAGGACGTCAGCCCACCATAGAATATACAAAAAGTAATTCGTATTTCGAAAAATTCAGTTCAACTTCTGTTGTTTCAAATAAAAATTTATAAAATACGCGCTAATAACAGTTCCAAAGTTTGTTTCTTTAGTGGTACTCAGCTCCCAGGCATCAAATCAACTCAGGTGAGGCTAACGTGTGCTGAATGTATCATAGATGTTATAAAATGAATATGAGCTAAAATATGAAAATTTCGGCAAAAAGCTTCCTTTGTTTTTGTACAAGTAACAAATCGAAACAAGTTTCGCGGGGCAAGAATTCTGTTAACGTATCATTCAAATTTCATCTTTACGTTTCGAGTTTTACGTCCGACACCACTACAACGTATCCCTAAAACTAACAGGCAAATAGGTTACCCACTAGGCCAACACGAGGACTACCATTCAGATGCAATGCATATTTACTTAGACATTTATTGATTGTCTCTGTATAATTCAAAGTATTGTTTTCCGCTATAGCATCCAAAATACTCGTTGTTTCTCTAGCATAAGGCCAAGATGATTTATCGTTGATTCACCTGTTTCTCTGCTGGAAGTAAGTTCGTTTTCTGGGAAGTGCGCCACACTTTTGCATCTAATGGTCACATCAGTGGTTTGCAGACATATAATCACAATATATCTATACGTAGAATCGTATGATGTACGCGGTTGGATGTCAGGACGTAAAAAGAACCCTCAACCGTAGCATAGTTGAAAAGAATGGCGTGCGCTACTGTGCGTTTGTCGTACAGGTGAATATAATTTTTTAAGTTTAAACATTTTATCCTCAGACAGTAACTTATAAGGAAATATGCAAGATCGTGTATTGATAATGAAAAAATAACTTTATTTGTTCACACGGGCTGTGTGAGTTGTTGTCAGAACCTGAAGCAACAACCCCGAAATCTGTCAACTAAAGTTTTTAACGCGTCAACTTTCATTAGTAACAGATTGACAGCACGATCGATAATTATGAGCCTATTTTCAAATTCTTTGTTGACCTGTATACCATACTACGTGCAGAATGAAATAAACTTTTCTATTATATGCCATCAAAATCTACTTGACCCAATTTCTCCATCCGCATATAATATCGAAGTAGATGAAGTTAACTAATGTCTGAGACAGTAGCTTCATCATCTTACGTTGGTGAACGCTGTACCAGACACGTTCAAGCTCTTCCTTGGGGTCGGAAACCCCGTTTTTTTTTTCTAGAAAAAGATACTCTGAAGTATATCCACATTATTATGATCGAACCATATAGCATCGTTTGCATCGTTTTTGACGACAAAACCGTACGGTTTTCGCTGGGGAGATTGAAATAACGTGTTGATTACGTTTATAGACCATATGGATGTTAATTATAAGGGTCTTTGTATTGTGTACCTTTGAGAGCGGACGTGCTTTAGACTCAAGGGTGTATATTTTTTCTGTAAGCGCGGGTTGCAGGTATGGTCGCACATAATACCAAGTGTCTTTTATTTCAGGTTGAATTCCACGACGTAGCAAGATTCAGCCTTAGCTGCGTTTCGGGCCAACATCAAAACCAGTAGAACACTTTGTTCATTTTACAAGAGGAGGGGAACACGCAAGAGTGATTCGTATCCAAAGAAAGTTCAGGAAGAAGCTTATCTGGGTATTCTGGTAGACTACGCAACGCTGATATTTCATCTCTTCCTACTTCTGATTACAGCAAGAAGGCAGCGTCTTTTACACCGTTCTTGCACGCAGGAGGGCACTAGCATTAATGCGGGAAATTTCTTGACAACAAGGCCCTGTCGAATTTACTTCTGTAGAACTCAAAGCAAGTAACTTCGGATTGTATCAATTTCGAATTTTACGACATAAATAATGATGCCGTAGAATTCGAAGTTCAGACTAAATCCTGAGTCATTTCTAAGTGGGTTTGTGTTATGACTGTAGGCCTAACGAATATGATTCCTGACCCATCGCAGACGCCACGGAAAAATTTTCCGGTATCTCATGAGAAACGTTTAGAGAGATACGTATAACCCGGAAACCTTGTACGTGTACAGCCTGGTTTGTGTGCAAAAAAGATCAAACAAAGCCAAAACTCTTGAAAAAAAATTAATTTGCCATTGGGCCTCCTACTTTCAAAATGCGTCTTTAGCAATAGCTCATTTTGAACACAATATCTGAGGAAAAACTTAAAATGTTTACACCAAAATGACCACACACACTTCTTAGGATGTGGGGACGATATATGAGTTCGATAAATATAGAAGGCTAGAGTACCATAAGATAATTGGTCTCGATACTAGACAAAATACATCTGTCCACTCAGTGATTAACAGTAAATTGATAGTGCCAAAAAGGCTAGTAGTACTGAACCATTCATAGACGAAAGTGTATCCAAACAATTCTGAAGCCTGACTCTAGTATAAGTGAAACTCCCAATCATGCTTAAATTGTGGCTATAGAAAATGCTAATTTTTTCTGTACTGCCTCTTATCACAGTGTGGTTTTCGGTTTCCTCGGTAAAATTAACACTTTTTTTAGTGATATTTTTAGGCTTAAAAGCTCTGCGAAATCTCAAAGATCACCGCCGAGTAATCAATAATATTTTCGCTTGTTTTAATTCTATAGACAGTTCGATCGGTATAGATTGTTGTATTCTCTACGTTTACCTAAGGGCCGCTTCGTCTGCCCCGCGAGCTTTCTCCGTGTCTTTTTTCAACTTCGTTGCCGCACACGTCTCTGTGTCGTCCACAGAGTGGTGCGGAAAAATTTCATTGGCAAGATATTTTCTGTATGTAAGATACAGGAACGCACCTATGACGACAAAATCGAACGGTCCTGGAGACTGTGCGGCGTAATGATACTTTGTTACTTCGAAAATTTCGTAAATGTCTCAAGACTATGCAAACTCTGTTTGCAATTTGTTCCCATCTCCAAGGAAACCGCTGTGAAGAAAGTTATTACAATCACGAGCTAGGTGCTATACGAGTGCTTCCGTCAGCCCAATATTTTATCGTGTGGGTGTAATTTTTCATATGAGCTGAAAGTTCAACAAAGGGACGGTTTTTCAAACGTGTCAATTTCCTTAACAGAAATCAAATGAACTTCTCCATTGCAAGAAAGTCGTGTTTATAATGTGGTGCCTAGGCCTAGCATCTTCATTGTCGCCTCAAATGATTTCCTCTTTATTTATAACCTTCAAAAACGCAATCAAGCAATTAATAGATTATCTAGAGAATGTAAGTTTTGATAAACAGCCATTTCTGTGAGATATCTAAAGTTTAAAATGCGCAAACTTGACACACAGAAACAATAGTAGTACAACATTGTAATTATGTCAGTGAGCCGATAATGAACTCTTTGTTTAATAAACATATTATAAATGGTGAAAGTAAACTTTCAATATGTCGTAATTATCTTTAAAATTTTGCACACAGAAATAATTATTTCGATGACGTTTCTCTGAGAGTACTTCAAGGTAAGTAAATCTACAGTATTTTCTGAAGGCAGATTATTTTGCAGGACGACATAACGTGCCATTTATGAAGCATTACTAGATAAATTTGTTTCAAATACGCACGAACATTTATGAGAACGCATGGGGAATAGGCTTTGTTTGTTGACTGTACAGTGGTGCATGCGAAACCTTATAAACTCACAATGTAGCTGAATTTGCTTTTGAAGTAACTGATCTATTTCGCTTCTTTGCAGCAGAAACGGAAACTTCTATCAACGTTCAACGGTCGGATCTCCGGAATCTTTGTCATCTAAATTTCGATCTAGCATATGAGAGGAAACAATACTGCGTAGCAGTATCTTTGATATATTTCTTAATGGAAATGTAATGATACATGTAATATTACAAATTTTACCGTTTATTCAAGTTTCAAGTATACGAGTAAATGAGCCGGCTGTATTGGCGGAAC